GTGGACGGATGGATGAAGGGATGAAAGGATGGGTGGACGGATGGATGGATGGATGGAGGGATGAAAGGAGGGATGTATGGATAAAGGGATGAAAGGATGGATGCATGGGTGGATGGATTGATGGATGGATGGATGGATGGATGGATGGATGGATGGATGGATGGATGGACGAATGGATGAAGCAATGGATGGATGGATAGATGGATGGCTGGATGAGGGGATGGATGAAGGGATGGATGGATAAAGTAATGGGTGGATGGAAGATGCATGGATGGATGGAAGAAAGGATGGGTGGATGGATGAATGAATGAATGAATTAATTAATTAATTAATTAATTAATGATGAAGGGATGAAGGGACGGATGAAGTAATGAATGTATGTATGGATTAAGGCTGAAAGGATAAATGGATGATGATGGATGAATGAATAGATTAATGATGAAGGGATGAATGGATGGAGATGAAGGGATGAATGGATGGGGAGAAGCACCTGTGGATGAAAGCTCCACGCGGATCTGTTTCCTCAGTTTTTATATAATTTAGTTTTGACACGCGCAGCTTCTTCTCCGTTAAATGAATTCAACGTGTGCAGGTGGACTCTGTCCTCGCGTGAGGCAGAACACTCCACGTGTCGATGCTCTGCACCTGTTCAGTGTTAAAACAGGAGCGCGCGGACGAGTTCTAAAGGAGAAATATAGACTAACATTCAAGTTTGAAGAAGTTTGGCTTGACCCGCGTGAAAATGAGACGTTTGCTTCTAAACGGTTATTTTTTTTATTATTATTAAACACAGAATTAAAATATATAAATATATAATTAAATGGAACAACATTTGTTCCAAAAAATGCGGCATTTCTTAGAAAACAAAAACCTAACACGTGAAACAGTTCGACACCAGCGCATGAAGAAACATTCTCAACGCTTTAAAGCTCGCGTGTTCTCATCACATCAAAGGTGCAGCTCAGAGAAAAAGATGGATTTCTGTCGGGGGGGGCACCGGGCCCTCAGGGGCCCCGCGCGGGTGGATATATATATATATATAAGAGGAGGGGGTTTAATTTCTCCTCTCCGACCTTTTGGAAACAAATAGTTGATCACCGGCCTTCTCAGCTATTACAAGCAATTCAGCTGTTCGGATCAATAATGAATGACCGAGGATCCCTGACCTGCTCTGAGTGCGCGTGAGAGGCGGAGGAGGAGAAGTGCACGGATAAACACCGAGTGGCCTCTTCAAATATTCATCTGCCGCTCCCCGGGGACCCCGCCTGCAACGCACAGCGGCCCTAATCTACCTCCCCGCACACACGCACGCTCACACAGACACACACACGCACCAGATTTAAAACCGTTAGTTAAATTCAGGGCGAGCTGTTAGCTCATCAGAGATTATTATTATTAAAGGGGGAGCGGGGGGGGTGTCTGCTTGGCAGGAAGATGCGGGAAGGAGGTTTTTTTTTTTGTTTTTTTTTTGAACGGGTTCTGTGTTTTTATTAAAGGCAGAGGGACGTGTCCGTGCGCAGACACAAGCGGGGGTTAACGGGAAACAGCACGAGCCGTTTGATTAAAACGCTCGCGCACTCGAAAAACGTCCGCGTGCATCTATTACAGCGAGGACGGAGGGGCTCAAAGGCTGCGTGGATCCTCTTAAAGGGGGCTCCCCTTCAGTTTACAGCCAGTTTGAAATCTTAGCCTCTGGGGTTCGGAGGATAAATAAAAAGAAAACAAGCAGCGTGAAAAAGGCCCAAAGGCTCAAAGGGTTGTTGTGCAAATTCAGAAAATGATGCACGTTAGAAATTAAAGAATAAAAAAAGCAAAACACTTGGAGTTTATTTTCCAGTCTAAAAAGGCCCCAAATACTAAGAATCCAATGAGTAAGACTTGTTTAATTTATAAAAGCGCTAAATTAGAGGTGTCATTTTTGCTTTGACATGAAAACTGTAAAACAGGAGAAATGCCAGTCTATACCTGGGGATGTCAGGGGGTTTGGTGGAAAAATCTTCCCTCTTTTTAGGAAACTTTGGGCTTGATGGGGCCATCTGCAGAACTGGAAAATAGAAACGTGGTTATCACCGCGACGCACGAGCTGAAAAGAATAAAAACCCCTCAATAAAACTGATATCCTGCTCAAATAAATCATGTAAAAGCTGAATAAAATAATCAATTTACATAAAAAAAAAAACTCAAAGATGACACAACTCAACACGTGATGACAGCACAAACAAAATGAGGAACAAAAACAAAACTCAAAGAAATTCCAAGTATCCAAATTTCCAAAATTTATTCATTTTCAAACTGCATATTGAAAAAAAATATACTCAGCTGAAACTGTAACTGTTATAAGGATGGTATTAGTCTCGGAGTATTTACATGGAGTGGTTGGCTTCTGCGTACAGGCCACGGTTTTTAAAATACAACTACAGGAATGAGTTTTGAAATAAAAACTTAAAATGCCACAGTAAATATACAGAAATTGTACAAATCAATTCAAAATAAAAAGCACAAGCGTCATATCTCTATCAGATGAAGAGTGGGAGACGGAAATATAAATTAACAACCTAAATTTTATGACAAAATAAAAAGTGTCTTGCTTTTATTTTAGGAAATAAAATTAAAAATGTTTAGTAATTTTAATGCAATAAAATAAAAAAAAATGAAAACAAGTATTACCTGCTTCTTATGTCCCTTTTTATTCCAATGTTTGCAGTAATAAGAGCATAAAAATTCTGCTCATGTATCTTTATTTTTTTCTGCAGGACTGGTGTCACTTTATATAAAAACGAAAAGAAAAACCTCTTGCAGTTTAACAATTTCATCTGATTGTTAGGTTTCCTTGATAAATACTGTACAAAAGGTGATTGCAATAATAAAACATCTGATTGCGACTCCCACTTTCTAAATTTCCAAACTTCTTCCCCCCAGAGGAGGAGGCTCTCCCCTCGTTCCTCGAGCTTCCTTAGAATAAACGAAAGAAATTAAAATAAAATTAAAAAAAAAAAAAAAGAGCGGTGTCCTTTTTTTTTTTTTTCCTGGAGACTTCTATACAACTTTTCCCACCCCAATTTTTTTTTCTGTACAAAAATAGTCCAACGTTAAGAAGTCCAGTTTCTCTTATAAAAGTTTCTTTTCTCCCCTCGTGCCGCGCGGAGTCTCTACATGTGCGTTAAGGGCAGCGTGCCGTTGATCGTCGTCCCGGGCACGGTGCTCTGGTAGTGCCCGGACATGTGTAGCCTGGTCTGGCCGCTCTGGTCGCTCACCTCGGCCCCGGGCAGGTACATGCTGATCATGTCCCTCAGATCCCCGCTTTGGCAGCCGGGGGCGGCCCGGTGGGACGAGGAGGTCACGACGGGCGGGCTGGAGCTGCTGGACTCCGACTTCACCACCGAGGAGGGCCCCATGGAGCCCAGGGCGGTCATCCCCGGCGTGCTCTGCTGGGAGTAGGACATGGAGTAGGTCGGGGAGCCGTTCATGTAGGTCTGGGAGCTGGTCATGGAGTTATACTGCAGCGCGCTCATGTCGTAGCGGTGCATGGACTGCATCTGGCTCGGGTTGTGCGCGTTCAGACCCGGGTGCTGGTAGCTCAGCTGCTCCTGCATCATCCCGTAGCCCCCGTTGGTCCAGCCGTTCATGTGCGCCGCGTAGCTGTCCATCCTCTGGTTCACCCCACCGCCCAGTCCGGCCCCCACACCGACACCGACACCAGTCCCCATCCCGTTGCCCCCAGGAGCCAGCAGCCCGCCGGGCAGGGTGTACTTGTCCTTCTTCATGAGGGTCTTGGTTTTCCGCCGGGGCCGGTATTTGTAATCCGGATGCTCCTTCATGTGCAGGGCCCTCAGCCTCTTGGCTTCATCGATGAAAGGTCTCTTCTCACTCTCCGACAGAAGTTTCCACTCAGCCCCCAGCCTCTTGCTGATCTCTGAGTTGTGCATTTTGGGGTTTTCTTGCGCCATCTTCCTCCTCTGGCCCCGGGACCACACCATGAACGCGTTCATGGGTCTCTTGACCCGCTCCGGACTGTTTTTCTGGTTGGCGCCGTTGCCGGAGTTGTTCGTATTGCCCGTGCCCCCCGTGTTGGTCTGGGGAGCTTGGGGCTTCAGTTCAGTCTCCATCATGTTATACATCACGAACAGCTTTCAGTTGGCGCTTCCGATCCCAAGAAAACCAGAAGCAAACTCCAGAAAGAGGCGGACAGACGAGGAGCGGCTGGAAGTTACCTGTCGGGGCTCTGCAACTTTTCTCTGCACAAAAACACGCATCAAGCCGCGTCTCCACACACGCTCCCTTCTCTCCCTCTCCTGCGTGTCAGAGTGTGTGTGTGAGAGTGTGCGTGACAGAGAAGCCTTCTCCCCAATGGGTCCCTGCTGTTGTGTCCACAAAACTTCTTCCTCTTCCTCGGAAAAGCATCAACAAACTGCACTTTTTCGCCTCTGTCCGCCCGAGCCTTGACAACTCCAGATAGTTTTTGAACAAGTTAATAGACAACCATTCATGCGACGGGGCCGTCAGCGAATAAATGGCTTCGACCTGGCCAATCAGAGCAGGCCTTCCCCACTGACCCACCAATGGGGGACATGAATTAGCATAAAGAGGCGGGGCCTCTTCTCTGAGGCGCACAGACATGCTCGTACTCACAGGCTGCCCACATGAGGCACACAACCTACATATTTACTATTTCCACGCTTGAAAATATACGTTGCTCTCAATCTAAATGATTAATGTAACTTATTACTTTATTATCATTTTAGTCATATAAAAGGGTGAGGAAAAACAAACTGTCTGGACATGAAGGAAAACTAAACTTAAAAAAACTTCTATACAAAGTAAAAATGTTTCCAAACTACAAAAAAAAAAAAAAAACCCCAGCAAAGAGCGTGTAAATAATAAATAAACAATCTCTTAAAAATCAGATTTGACAGTGAAGAGCTTAAATTCTGACAGGAAATCTAATCTAATCATTGCGTGACATAAGCGTTCAAATAAATAATTAACAAAACTGAAGTGTATATGAGGTGACAACGATGTGGAAATGATCTGTTCTTCAAAGTGGAAACAACATTGTTCTGATTAGGTCACGACTCGTGCCAAAGCTGCTGTTCAAAATCAAAAAAAGTCACTAATTCCCCCCCACTCCCAGGCCCAACAACACAACAACACTTAAATCAACTTTGTTAACTCAAAGCACTGAATGGCTGCGCTGTGTGTGGATGTGTGCGTGAATGGGGGGGAAGTGTTGAAAGGAGGAAAGGTAATCCAAGATTCCCCCCCCACCCCCCACCTCAGTCCTTTTGTTTAGGGAAGTTGAATGCCGACACACAGAAGGCAGACGGGCTCATCTCAGCACAAATAAGCGGGTTTTGTTTGGGATGATGTCGCTACATCTGTCCGGACAAAGACCCAACTCCACTCCACTTCCACTGCCAGAGCTGCAGTTGTTGTTAAGGGGCTTTGTGGGGTGGGTGAGTGGGAAAGGCACGAAGGGAGGAGATATTAAAAAGGTGAGGAATATTTTAAGATAAAACGTGTTTTTATAAAGGCCACACAGCTCATTCATCTTAGCTCCAACAAGCGGCCTTCGCAGGCTTCACTTTTTATTCTTTAACAAATCGAGCAGGCTGAAATAATTATGACATGAAAGAAGCTATACACCATGTAAATATAAAGCCCTCACTTTAGAGACTAAAATGAGTAAAGTTTTAGCAGTTAGAAGCAGTTTGGTGCCACTTGTTTGGCGTTTTTCCCCCTCGTTCTCCACATCAGGGCCGAGCGTCGGGTGGCGTGACATCAGCACCCCCTAGTGGAAACCTGAAGAACTGCAAGCGTGCCACCCAAAAATGATTTTCTCAAAGCAAAAAAAAAAAAAAAAAATCTACTTTAGGAACTTCTCATCATATATAAATTAATTTAAAAGAATACTACAGAATGGATATTTATCTCACAACAACAGAGCTTTTTTTAATTTCATAACAGATGTGAAAGTAAGGCAATAATTAAAGAGAGATCAAGTATACACACCTGGAATAATTTAATTTAAATCCGCAGATTAAATCATAATTGAAAGAGAATAGATCGCGCCTTATTATTTTTGTTTTAGTCATTTGGTAATAAATGGAGGAGCGGGGCCCCCGTGCTCTCATTATGCCGGCCCCAGCAACCTTACATAAGATTCATCTTGTGCTTAATAGGCTGCGAGAGGCGACACATGCAGCTCGGTCCATTATGATGCAAGGTTGAAATGGGCCGCTCGGCTGCTATCTGCATCTGAGTGTGTTCCCCGCTACCTCTAATCTGCTTATGATAATAAAGGAACAGCGGGGCCCTGCAGCTCCCTGAAAGCGGGCCCCAACCAGCCGGGAATGGCCCTGCATCCACAATCGTTCTGAATTAAAGCCGTGGTTTGACAAAAAAAAAAACAGGGGGAAACTAGAGGGGCGGCTCCCTCTGACCACTTGTAAGACCCCCCGCCACCCCAGGTTGGGATGGATCCTGAAAATACAAAGAGTGGCGTGCTGAGATACTAAAATACTGTTTTGCGGCGGCGCAAATTTCTGCAAAACATGCGCTAAATAAAACCCGCAGCTAAAGATGTATTTTATTACATCTGCGCAGTTTGGAAACTCCAAGTGTCACTCTGAAAAAAACAAAAAAAAAAAACAATTTGAACTTGTTGCAGTGGTTCTGGTTCAAGTTCATCCCGACGCGTTCAGATTTATGAAGAAGCTCACGCACGGTAACGAAATGAGCATATTGCGCGACAGAAAGGACAAACATGTCAGGAGGAAAGATGATAGACTGGTGTTTGCTGCCACCAGGGGCCGTAACGCGGGCGGAGGACGCAGAGCCACGAAACATCAAAAACTCCCCACAGTTATTGCCAAGACTTAAACTCCAGATAAAACGATGCAGCTCTGATTTAGTTCATAAAAACACTTTGCTAAAAAAAAAAAAAAGAATCATAATTTGAAATTGTTCAAACTTAATACCATATATCTTATAAGTAAATACTAACGATTTGCCTCAAAATTGATTAATTTATGTGGTAAAATGTCGCCCGATAGTGAAAATAAATTATAAATAAATAAATAAATAAATATGACCCTGCAGTAGCTTGGAATAAAATCGTGAACAAACAATAAAGGCGCGTTAATAAGATCTGATTTATAGCCTAAAAGTCCTTAAATATTTATATCAATGGGTAAAAAGGAAAATAAAACAATATAAACAAATCTGCCTCAATCAACAAATGTCAATTATGACTCGTGCGTCTTTATAAATAATTTCGTTTTGCAGCAGAAAACTAAACGGGTCAACTGTCAGTCAAGGTTTTAATGCCATGCGGTGTCATTCCACAACACTGCATGATTTACACGCGCACACACCTACACACACACACACGCACACACACACAGGCCAACACACAGGGCTTCTACCCATCGCTCTCCAACTTACTGCCAGTTTGGGACATTCTCCCCCTCGCCTTGATTGGCAGAAATGAAACAAGATGCCATTTTCTCTCAGCCTCCTTCATGTCCTCTTCTCTTGGCTTCCTCCGGTGAGGCAGTCCGAGCCTGAGCTCCTGGTCCCGGCGCCCGTCCCGCACCTCCCGCGGGTCCCGGCTCTCCACACCCGGGGAGTCCGCGCGGTTTCCATCCCGCCGCCGGCGCGCTTCGATCGGCTTGCAGCCCCGCGCAGCCCCGCTCTCAGTCTGGAGCTCCGCTGTCTTCTCTCCACAAGCCCTGCAACAAGAAAAGCCGTTTATGGCGGCACACAATGTGAAAAGGGGGCCGATTTAAAAAGGAGAAGAATGCAAGCAAGAACAACAAAAGTCAGTTATAGCAAAGTCTATGCCTCTCCTATCTTCCACCCCCTAGCTTAGCCCACATAATGAGCAGGAAAAAGCTTTATATTTTGTTCACTGGGTATTCACAGATAATTTGAAGCCATTGTTTCTGCCACAGATGGTTCTTTTTAATACAATAACGGTGCTCTTTGTGAATAGCGAGCCCACAATAAAAATCTAAAGCGTCCTCCTGAATAACCATTTTGTTCTCTCTTGTATAGGCCGAACAAAAGCGCCAGTGAGGTAATGGCCTGCCTTATTGAAAGCCTCAGAATGGGGATTTGATAAAGATTTTTTTTTCGCTCCTTTTTCTTTTTGCAAAGTAAACGGCAATGTCAAAGAGAAACTGACACGGGATGAAAAGAGAAAAAAGGCTTTAACCAGTGCCTGTATGCAGTTGCAAGTTACACATATTTTTATTATTATTATTATTATTCATTTCTGGATCTGAGGGGTTGAAGGAGTGCATGCAGGTCAGGTGCATGCATGTTATGGATTTTACAATGGAGCTTAAATCCAGAATACATTAGCCTCCTAAGGTCTGCTGTGGATTTAGCACTCTCTCATAATTTGGCATAGGGTGTGTCACGTTGTGCTCCACAGAAGTATTAAGTGTGCATTTCCAGGGATTTTTGCAGAAACCTCCTGTTTCTTATTCTACCCTTCTCCCTACATTTGCCCAGAATATATTGCATGTCCTTAAAGAGCTGATAAGGTGCTGTGAAATGTCACAAATGCATGGATGTTAATGGGGGAAATGAGGACGACTAATGTAACCAGCTGAGGTTGGAATGCACGCCTGTAGGCATGCACGGCCAAATGTATTAGCTTCTGCAGGACGGATCCTGCAGTCATGTACAAGCCACCTAGTCCGGCCACGGTTGATGTAATTTGTAATTAACTCAAGGCTAATCAATAAAGCATTTAACAGACGCACAATGCACACAGGGGATGATCCAAAGCCAAACATATTGGATGTCACTGATCGTTACAAGGTGAGGACACCCTGTCCATCACAGGGCTGGAGGCTGCAGGGCAGCAGGAGATGGGGGCGCTATATGAAGGGATGAGTGGAAAGGACAAGAGAAAGGGGATAAAGGCACAGATAATGGAAGATGAAAAGGAAAAGAGCACATTCTCAGTTTAAACTGGTCTGACATGCAGTCAGCTCCTCCAGTGAGCGTTATCCCTCGGCACCAACCTTATTGAAAACATGTACTTGTCAACACAAGTGGATTAAGGGAGAAGGCCTCATATCTCTTTTTAACAGCCATGTCTAATATGTGGCACAGATTTTTGTCAAGATTGTTTAGTAGACACAATTTATATGAAAATTACAAAACTTAAATGTGTGAGAAATTGACCAAAAAAAAGCAATTACATCACAATGACAAGTTTCTGTTATCTAAAATCATAATCTCTTGGTTATGGGACCATCTTATAGACTTTATTAATTCAAGAGTATGAACTCTTTTACACCGACAATCCATTTCTCTCTAGATATAATAAACAGCACATTACACATTCATTCGATCCTTTAGTTGTGATGAAAGGTTTAACAACTTTTTAAAATGAAAATATCTAAAATATGTTTGAAAACTCACATTTTAAGGTTCATGACTTTTCTACTTTGTGACAAGCGGTA